AGTTTTACATAGAAATATATAGGAAAATATCTTTAAAAATCTTCTTCTTAAGAACAGTAAAGCCATGATTGGTCATATTTATATGGAAGCATCCTCAGATAGTGAAGATTCAAGTTTGTTCAAATCATTACCCTGGGGATAGGTTGGGACCACAATGGGTGATCAAAGTTTACAGAGGAATATATAGGAAAAAGTCTTTTTCTCAAGAACAGAGAAGCCATGATTAGTCAAATTGATATGGAGGCATCTATGGGTAGTGTAGAATGAAATTTGTTCAAATGAGGGCCCCCGGGGGTAGGGTGGGGCCACAATGGGGGATCAAATTTTTACAAATGAATATATGGGGAAAAAATCTGCTGCTCAAGAACAACAAAGCCATTTGTTATATTGATATGAAAGCATCATCAGGTAGTTTAAAATTCAACACCCCCCTCCCTGTCAACTTTTCAATACTGTACTGATTTTTGCTTTTTTTCCTAGCCAATGTGCTCAGGTGAGCGATGTGGCCCATGGGCCTCTTGTTTTAATATGTGCTTCCCAATTGATCATTATACAGTTTCATTTTCATTTAATTCATCAAAACATTCCATACTTTATAATTCAGATCTTTCAATGATATATAGTCATGAATATTTGTCCTGTTGGGAAAGATTCTTATTTTTTATGTTTTAAAAACCAAATGCCAAGTCACATTACTTCTCACCTTTATATAATACTTAAGTTTCAAATCCATTTAACATATTTAATCAGTAACATCAGAGGAAAGAGCTGTATTTTTCAAACAAAATTGTTTCAGTTTTTACATATAATAAGTTTATTTCAAAACCCAGTTCATTGTTTATCATGATGACAATATTTTTTTACACGATGCTTTCCAATGCGTAATGAATTTGTGATACGCTACATATACAACCTCATTGATACTTAAATTGACAAAAACTTCAATATAATCGAAGAATGTTAACACTACTATACAAATATAATATATGTGTACATCTAGTGTTAAATCTAGACCCTAAAAAGGGCATGGTAATCCAATAATCAAAAGGGCACTTTACGTCACGACAAGTTTTCATGAGGGCACTTTTTTAACGTCTTTGAAATTATAAATATTTTCTTTATCATGTTTATGTACTTAAATTATTATTTAATACTGAAATCTGTAGTTATACAATTATCTAAAAGAAAAGTTTATAAATCTGTCAGCTTAATTCATTTAATACACACTGAAAGGGCAATTATTGTCAAAATTTAAATTCAATTTTTTTAATCAAGAAAGTAGTATGGTTATCAAGGTTATGCTTAAAAAGTAATATGTGTGAATCTTTTTGTCACTTGCTCAAGAATTATTTTAATTTTAGGTATGAATTTTTTCCCTTGCTTTAATATGAGGTAAATAACAGCACAAATTTGCAAAGGGGGGGGTTACTTGGATAATAAATGTAGAGGGCATTCTCTTTATTTTGAAAGTAATCTACCAACAAAATCAAGTGAAAACTGATCATACCAAAAAATTAAACTTGAAATAATATATAAATTGGATAAAACTTTTTTTCTGGCTCAGAAACATTGAACCTCAGGGTGTCAACTGAAAAAGTTAGAACACAGAATCATTGAACATGTTGAAAGAAACTAACTTCATACTTTGTTGTTTCCTAGCCCATTTCACACACAATATTCATTTTTTTTTTTTTGGGTACATTGTAAGATGACTTAATTCATCAGCAGTTTTATTTTTCACATTTCTTCATCAGGCTCTCATTAAAAATATCTTTGTTTCCCCTAACCCGACCCTAAAATCTCAAGTTGGATAGGTAGGTAGGCAAATATTTTTTTTTCCTGACAGCAGCTTTGAAAATACATTCTTCAATTTAATGGAATAATACCTTTATAAATGAAAGAAAGTACAGATTTTTAAAGAAAGTAATTTGTAAACAGAATATCAAACAATTGCAATTGTCGTTTAAAAGCAAAATTTAAGGTAAATTTACAATTCACAACAATTATTCCTTTGTAAAATATCTCAAGCAAGTGTAAATTTATTTGAAATCAAATGTTAAAAAAAGACTTTAAAAATACTTAGATACATAAAGACTGGACATCCGAGTATATTTTTCAACCTACTATCAGCTTGAAATGCTTACATATGCAGAGTACTTTTTCAAGGGCCTCGAATTGTGAATTTCAATATGGGGTCCCGAAGTAAGGAGCTACAATGTGATTCTAAGTTGCAGGTTCAAATCACATTGTGAGACGTTGAGACTGGTCAGACTGTAAAATTTAGGTCCAGTGTCGCAGTAGATGTTGGTACAAAAAAGATCCATCACTGCTCAATGGTAAAAAGTGCCGGGTTCAGGTCTAAATTTGGAGCCCTTCACAGGGCAAACGTTCATACAGTTCTCAAAGGAATTTAAAGTAAAGAATCAACCTATCTCCAAAGAAAAATACACTGGACGTCTCAGGAAGCTGTATCACGATTTCAAAACTATATTTGGAAAGAGTTTGTAAACAATATTCAATTGAACCAATTCATGATCTAAAATGATAAAATGTCATACACAATGTCATAGTCATGAAGCTTAACCCATGAATAAAAGGCACGAATAAAGAACGTTTGAATTTTATTCATCGGAATGAAATATCATATGCACACATATTTACAACTCCTGTAGTCACATATAGTAAACATAAGAACATAAATGAACTGTCTCAGATTAAATAAAATTTAAAATTGATTGATGTGTTCACAAGGTTGGCCCCTCGTCAGCTTATAAGGCGACTACTCTACGTAGTGAATTTTATTAACAAAATATTACAAGTGAGTAGGATTCTAATAAGCTAAAGGCAAAATTGTGAATACGTCGCCATTGTTTCATAACAAGAACCCTCTGAGACCACAATGTTATGGGCACCATTTTGTTTCCAACAAAGGCTTGAAAATCACAGTAGATCAAAATTGGTCATTCTCATAAAAACCGGATTTTGGTGAAATTGTATTTGAGGAAAGTTGATGAACAATAAAAAAAATATTTGAATAAACTTATTTAAAAAAACTTTTCAGTCGACGCAATTTAATCGGGTCGGTCGCGTTAGGGGAAACAAACATATTTTTAATTTTGGCCTCAACTCTGTTTTTTCTACTTTCAATTTAAAAAAAAAAACGATCCAGATTTAAAATGTGTAACATTTTAATTTACAAATTAATCCATCTCTGACAATGGGCTAATTCTTGCATAATCAATGCAATCAAATGATGTTTTCTCGTGTTATCTCTTATACCCTGACAGCCTGAGGCATGTTACTGGGCCAGGTGGCTGTGTGCGTTCAAGCGAGAAGTGATTTCCTGTCCTGAATTCACACCTTTGCGTGTATTAAATAAACAAAGGGGCTAATCAGCATGCACTGAATAAACAAAGCCGCTAGTCCGTCTTGCCTCTGCTAGGCATATTTATTTATTTTTGCAAGGAAAAAAGGGCATGGCGCTGGAAAAAAGGGCATGGCACCGAGAGAAAAGGGCATGGCGCCGCGCCATGCTAGTTTGCTTTAGATTTAACACTAGTACATCTCTACCAACACATATGTGTACACAATCATCATCCTACCAACATGTGTACCAATTCCTACCACAATCTTCAATGTACACCATCGTCCAGGGGCCCGTTTTACAAAAGAACTTACGACTAAGGCCAAAAACTTCAGTTGATTGTAAAATTTGCAAACTTAATGATTCTGTTTAAAACTGCTAGCATAAAAGTATCTCTCTAGATACCTTTTAGAAAAGAATAAAACCATTTTCTATGTAACATAAATTAGAAAGTTATTAGGAGAATTAAATTTTGGTCTTAGTCGTAAGTTCTTTTGTAAAACAGTCCCCAGATCTACACCATTACCACAATCACACAGATGTACAACAGCCCATGTACAACTGTACGATCGATCTGTACACACTATCATCGCCACGACCTACCACAACCAATCGGACACCACTGTCCAGATGTAAAACATCACCAAAGTCATATTGTTGTACACCACCACCATCCACGAAAACGTACATCATTTCACACCGCCACAATTAATGTACAGTACAATGTATCACCTACCAACCATCATTACACACAATCACCACCACCACCAATATACTCTACAATCCATACAAATCATCATCATAATCACACAGGTGTACACCACCTCCACCAATATACAATGTATACACTCATCACAATCACACAGGTGTACACCACCACCACCAATATACAATGTATACACTCATCACAATCACACAGGTGTACACCACCACCACCAATATACAATGTATACACTCAACACAATCACACAGATGTACACCACCACCAATATACAATGTATACACTCATCACAATCACACAGATGTACACCACCTCCACCAATATACAATGTATACAACTCATCACAATCACACAGATGTACACCACCACCACCAATATACAATGTATACACTCATCGCAATCACACAGATGTAAGCCACCACCACCAATATACAATGTATACACTCATCGCAATCACACAGGTGAACACCACCACCACCATGCAATATACAATTTATACACTCATCGCAATCACACAGGTGTACACCACCACCATCAATATACAATGTATACACTCGTCACAATCACACAGGTGTACACCACCACCATCAATATACAATGTATACATTCATTGCAATCACACAGGTGTACACCACCACCACCACCAATATACAATGTATACACTCATCACAATCACACAGATGTGCACCATGCACCACCACCAGTATACAATGTATACATTCATCGCAATCACACAGGTGTACACCACCACCAATATTCTCGAAAATTCGATTACACGACCATTCTTACACACACTGCACCCTTGTAAGCGCCAGTACCCACTTAACACCTCATTGCCATTAATTTCTCTAGTCCTTATGCATATATTTCAAAAACTGAATTAATATTAAACCTGTTGAATGCGTCTATTTTCAGTGGGTTTAAATATGGAGAGGCCTGTGTTGCTAGCCTGAAATCAAAATGTCTACAGGATACGGCTATCATAGAGGCGGAGCTACTTAAATTGACCTTAGCAGAAGAGGAGCTAAAACTGTTGTGTCGGGACGATTCGTTATATGATGGTATGAAAACATTCACTCTATTTTATAATTTAAAGCGATGTAGTAAAGTTTGACGATAATATCAATGTTAGACGGAATTCCTTCTGTCATATCATGTTTGTCAGATCAGTCTATACCGAGCTAGTCTGGAGTACAAGTTCAATAATCTCACTATACAAAATGCATTTTTGGAACACTCATTAAAGATTACAATTGATAGAGAAATTTAGCCTGGGAAACTAAATATTACAGCTTCCTAAAATTCTTAAAAGGCATCCCTTTTTCCAATGGAATAGTGTTGGAGCTATATCAAACAATTAAAAGAAAACTTTCAAAAAATCAAATCAAATTTCAAAAACCGATAAAAATAAAAGTTTTATATACCGATTATCTGTCGGCAATTTGATTGGCAGGTAATTGCTTTCTTCTGTACAATTCAACTATGCTATGTTTTAAGAATTTTTTTTTTTCATTTGAAATGCATATGCCGTGACATATTATAGTTTGACAGTCATGTTTGTCTGTGCGCTTTGCCTGTTGTAACCTCAAAGCATGTAATTTAAATGATTACAAACGCTTCAACTTTGAAGTCAAACATTTGGAGGCGTTCTATTTTTTTTTATCTTCCAATATAATTAATGTATTTTCTGCCGGGATCTCCGCCTATAATTAAATAAAAGCTAAATTCATAACAGATTAATTCTTCATTAAAGGATACAGTTAAGAAGAAACGCACTTAGTTCTTCATGCAGAATAAGCTTACTAGATAAATCTGAAAGATACACTTTAAAAAAAAGATGAACCATCTCCTCCTTGTGCTTTGATTATTAAAAACATCTTTTGTTTTACTTTACAAAGATATGTGTCAAAGAAACGTATGATGTTTCAGAACTTTTCTGAATCAAAGCATAACATTCTCCTTAAAAGAGCTGTTGTTCAAAAATTCAATACGTTATGCAATTCTCGTGTAATTCTCGTGTAATTATCGAGATAATATCGCGCGTATGACTACTTAACGTTGATATTTCTCAATCAGAGATCACCCTTCAAATGCCAAGCTTTGCATTTAATGTAATAAGCATGAGCAGATCCGAAAGTTAACAACCTTCTCCGGGAAAAAAAAAAAAAAAAAAAAAAAAAAAAAAAAAAAAAAAACTTGCATTGCTGGAACGAAGCGAACATACTGGTCCAGTCTAATATCTGAATTTAATACAAACTCTCCTATGGAATAGAAGTCATTAGGTAGACATGAATTGCGGCGCCATCTTCATAAAGAGAAAAATGTATCTATATTATGAAAGACAGTGTGCTTGAAGATTTGGTTAAGACGGCGAATTCTGGAATGTCTTGCACTGCATGTTTATCCAAAACACTGAACTGTGTACGGGGTCAAACCTCTTTCAAACAAAGTATGCTCAAAGAATGTGTTTTAGGTTGATTTGTAGTATTTGTCATTATGTATCATTTGCCGACAGAAATATAGATTCGGTGTTTAGTTAGTAATAAGAGTATCATTGACAAATGTTCATGAACAACCGGTGCTTTCTTCTACATTATATTTAAATCATTTTCATTTAAAGTGTCTCCCTTAAGCTATTAGTACATGTACAGATGCTTGTAAATTTAGCCCTTCATGATAATATTTGACGGTTTTCATCATTTAATTAATTTATTGTTCACAATAGACATATAAACAGTATTCACCTACTTCCTATATGGACGTCCTCTTTAGTTTCTTTAATCTTAAGCTAATCGGGTTGGGATAGGTTCGGGTCTCAATGTACATAATGTTGTCAATATAACTCTTAAAAGCTTTTCATTTCAAGCATATATATTTTTCATTTTAGTTTATGCACGAAATAGATATTGCTATGAGAAATCGGGAATAGCAAATGAGAAATGTTTCCGAGATGTAATGAATTCTTCAGTCCGGATTATAACAGATTTGGACCAAAGGTCTGTCACAGGATTTTGCGGGTGAGTACTTTAGTGTGGAGAATTGTTTAAAAAACATCCTGTTGTAAGTCGAACACGTCTATGATAGTGGATCTGCATTTTTTTACACGCACCTTGGAATGACTTTTTTTTTGGGGGGGGGGGGGAGGCAGTAGAATAGATTCTTTTTTGTCATATTTCCTTGTTGTTTTAGCCCACAAGACTTTATAAGTTGGAGTGGGATGCAAAAGTGTATTTCATTTAAAAATATGAATAAAAAATTAAAAATCGATTAATGTACGTGGGATGGAAAGTGTATTTCATTTAAAAATATGTATAAAAATTTAAACATCGATTAACTGTTTATTGAAATTGGATATCGTGTAATTGAAAAGAAGCTATGCACATTAATACAGATTATCATATACAGTGTATATCAAATGAACCAGAAATAATGTTCATATTCTACATTAACACTTTATATCTTAATTTCACATTAATATAACATTTGAGACAGTTATCATTTGAAATGAATCAAATTAAAATTTGAATTTTGAATTAACACCATGTATCTTCGTAAGTAATAAGATAATCTCAATATATATGAACATGTACAAGCAGGCACGGATCCAGGATTTTTTCCAGGGGGGGGGGGGTGATGGGGGTTTACCCAAGTTCCAGTCCAAAAGGATCCAACCAAGAAAGTCATTTTTTATTTACTTTCGTACAGTATATGCTTTCATTAACTCTGCAGATTCCGGGGGGGGGGGGGGGGGGGAGGTCCTGACCTCTTCGCCCCCTCTAGATCCGAGCATGACAAGTAATACACATGTACAAGTAATTCAGGTAGTAAGTCAATAATTTTATGCGTAGAAGATTTTTAAGTTCTGTAGCATAATTACTGTCAATGATGTTAAGGGTTATATTCTGCACTTGGTGTTTTTAAACTATATGTCTAAATTGCAATAAATTCAAAAGTGAAAAAAAATTAAATGATATACATGTACGTTTAGATTAATTATAGAAGTTTTGAAAAGAAAATTCTTTCTTTATGACGCAAATGATAATGTTTGGATAATGTGACCTTGTGTTTGTACAAATAAATTACAACCATAAAATGAATCAACAAGAATAAAAGTCAGTGTTTCCTAATAAAGGAAAACAGCAGCTATTTTTCAACAGTTAAATAAAGTGATATATGTGGACAAACTACATCACCCTGAGTCATGGGAAAATAGAGCAACCTTCAACAAACATTTTTAATCTTTTTGTGAAGAAGATGAGTCTTCAGGACAAAAATAATTCCTATATTCTTAATGTTGAATTAACTTAAAATGTTGACTTTTCCAAATAAATATGTTTAGATTTGGGAGTCTAAGATCTTGAATTTGTATAATAGTTTATTTTAGCTTTCAGTTTGAATCTTTAAATTGATTACATGACAAGTAATTGTTATGCAATCATTTTCAACTTCAGATTGAAAAATTAATAAACGACACTGATCAGAGATGGGTGTGTTATACAATGTAGTAGATAGAGTACAAGAGTTTATAAAAACGACCACAAAGACAAAATAAAGCGTCTTACTTTATGGTGCAAGGATAAGAGGAAAATCAAGGATTTTTTTTTTTAATAAGTAACTATTGGATATGGGGTTTATTTAAAGAGTGGGTCAGGAGATCCGTAAAAATGACGCGAAAGATAAAGAACTCAAAAAGTTGGAACAATTAGACAACTGTTTACTTTAATTTAAGTTCATTATGGTAATTCGAACGTTAACACATGAAAAAATAAATTTAACAAATGATAGAAGAAAGCATTAAAAGTAACACTTGTGAAAATATCAATTTTAATCAAAAGATATACATGTATTACAGTATATCTCTGTGAAAGTACTGTAAAGACAGGAACTGTTTCTATGCCCCGTAATCGAAGATTCAGCGGTATATAGTTTTTGCCCTGTCCGTCCGTCTGTCTCTATTTGTCTGTTTGTCCGCAAAAGACTTTAACATTGCCGATAACTTTTGATTGGCTGGAGCTATGGCTTTCATATTTCATTTCAGAGATGTATTCCTTGTGAAAGACCTTCCTTTAGGTACCAACATATTTGATCTCTTGACCTTGGAGTTTGACCCACTTTTGCAAAAATTTACCCAACTTTAACCTTGGTCATAACTTTTGAACAGTTGGTGCTAGGGCTTTCATATCTCACATATATATTCTTCGTGACATGACCATTCCATGGGTGTAAATATTTTTGACCTTGATCTTATAGTTTGACCGTCTTTTAAAAAAATTTAATGTTGGCCATAACATTTGAACAGTCAGTACAAGGGCTTTCAAATTTCAAGGTATATTCCTTTTGACAAGACCTTCCTTTGGATACCAACAATTTTGACCTTTTGACCTTGACCTTGGAGTCTGACCTACTTTTGAAAAACTTTATCCTTCGCCATAACTTTTTAACAGTTGGTGCTAGAACTTTCATATTTTGCTTGTGTATTTCTTATTACAAGGTCTTCCCCTGCGTACCATTAATTTTGATCCTTTGACCTTGACCTTGAAGTTTGACCCACTTTTAGAAAACATTATCTTTGACCACGACATAAGAATGGTTGCTGCTCGGGCTTTCATATTTACCAGGTATATCCATTGACATAAGTCTTTTCTTTGGGTAACAAACATTTTTGATCTCTTGACCTTGACCTTGGAGTTTGACTTGCATTTGAGAAACTTTAACCCTCACCATAAACTCTCATACGGGGGCATCAGTGTTTCACAAACACATCTAGTTCTTCCTTTTAATCGATCCCATACAATATACAATGTGTTACCTGTGTGGGATATAGCGTAATATGCTTGACTCACTGTTTTTATGATATACAATGTGTTACCTGTGTGGGATATAGTGTAATATGCTTGACTCACTGTTTTTATGATATACAATGTGTTACCTGTGTGGGATATAGTGTAATATGCTTGACTCACTGTTTTTATGATATTGTTCTGATACACGCTTTATGAGTATAAATAAATGAAGATAATGTTCCTTTGAATTTATTCCAGGGACGTGGACTCCTTGTTAAATTGTATAGGTGGCGCCTTGCACGCCGAGCAGTGCAGTAAGGAATCTATAACACAGAAGGATAAACTGGTCCGGCCGCTTATCCGGGGTAGCCAGGAGTGTGATAAATCTGCTTACACTGTAAGTCTGTGTCTCTTATCCGGGGTAGTCAGGAGTGTGATTAATCTGCTTACACTGTAAGTCTGTATCTCTTACCCAGGGTAGCCAGGAGTGTGATAAATCTGCTTACACTGTAAGTCTGTATCTCTTACCCAGGGTAGCCAGGAGTGTAAGTCTGTCTGTGTTTTTTTTATGCCGGATAAGCAAGGGTGTGATAAATCTGATTACACTCAAAGTCAACTATGCAAACAGTTGTCTAACAAAACACTAGACTAAGTTATTGGACAACATGTAAATATCTTATTTTAAATCATTATCTAAGCAAAATATATCCTAGGAAAAGAAATGAAGTTACAGAAAACTCACTACGTGCATGCATTAAATTGAATTTGATCCACGGTGGCTGATTTAACTGAGGATTTGACTGTGCTTTGATTCCTGAACAACTGTCTCTAAATGTGTAATAGACATGATTAAGTCATTTCATGTTAGCATAAAAAAATATTTTCATGTGCATTGAGGCTTCCAACTGAACGCGGACTGGAGGTAAAGGCATTATAAAGAGAACTATTTCCCAATGGCTGATTATTTCTATAGATAACTTTGATTTGTGGCTTCAAAACTAATTTTGCAAAGTGTGTTGTACAAACTAAATCCTTTAAGTGGCCTTTTTAATCATTTTCCTTTTTAAAGGGATTTTTAAGGCAGATGTTTTGAGAATAAATGTTCAACAATACATTTATCACAACTACATATTTAAAGCTTATTTATGATGTGTTATTTTAAATGAATTGACTCAGGACTCACACAAGACATTTATTTTAGATGAATATCACATCCATTTCTCTATGACGAGTTGTTCATGAATTCCTCCCCCTACAAAATAACATAACCATTTCTAATACTGACAAGGTCAACTGTTATCCTAATTATTAATTGGTCAGGACATTGCTGAAGACAATAGTGTAACAGGATTTAGAATCATGTTCTTGGTCGAGTTAAAGTCTTGATTTTAATTGTTTGTAAGACGTTGGGAAAAGTACATTTATTGCCTACACGGAATTTCTTTTTAAGTTTTTAAGTTTATCATTTTAAATTTGATATTTAAACAGATTCGATATTTGGATTATTATGACAAACCTTGGTAAGGGGACAAAGAGAAGACATGCATCAAAACATATATCCATTAGCTTTTACCATTTACGGGCGAGCTATAAAAAAGATAGAACCAAGCAACATTTATTGCACCTGAAGAATACCATTATCGACCGAAAGATATGTCACAATTGCCTATTAAAATATTCCCCACGCTTGTTTCCGCGGTTTATTTATCTTTTGAAGCTTGTGCAAATTGTCCAAACAAGATCACTCAAATCGGTGAAATAAAACAGACTTCAAATGAATCATTTACATTTCCTTAACAAGTTTTTGAAAGTTAATAAACAGTGATTTAAAAAATAAAAGACTTGCTAGTCTTATATACCAGAGCTATGCCCGTCAAGTCCAATTTACACAGTCAAAGAACTTAGGACTTTTATCAATCTTTGTCTTTTAGCGAGTGGAAAAATTCTGAATTCATAGAATAGACTTACTGCTTGATTTTATAAATTGCACAGTTGTTAAAGTTTTAAAAGAAAGGCTTTTTAGATAGGTTCCCCGAGTTAATGTACTTTTGGTGTCTGTATATATACGTCATTGCATCCTTCAAAACATAGTACAATTATCAGCCGACAGATTTTATAGTTTTTGGTTTTTAAATAATGACGTTGAACTTCATTCATAAATATGTCATAACATTATGAATGTATGTAAAGGCAAAAAAATCTGAAATTTCTTGGTCTTTATTTTCAGGTTTCTAGTCAGAAAACAACGCCTTCACAGTTGCAAAATGGCCGCCAATCAGGCACAAAAGGAAGTGATGGGACAAACACAGCAGACTATTGTTTAGCAAACCGAACATTAATTTTATCATTGCTGGTGGTATTTTCATTAGTTCTAGGATTTTCATGATATAACATCAGTGTCTGAGGGATAATTTACTTTAGAATAGAAGAATATGCATACTGCCGAATCGGAGCCCATGATGAAGATGCCCTGCATTCTTTGCTTGTGACAAAGTATGAAACGTGATGGCGGAATGCGAGAAACTGTAGTTATACATAGAGAATGAAAGGGATGTTTGAATAAAACAGGATTAAGATTCATATTGAGGGATGTGTACAGGAAAACATTCTGTATGTGAGTGCGCATGTGCATTTGGTGTGTCCCGGTGGTTGGAGTTGTCAGTAAATGTATTTGTTTTGTTTCTGGCCTATTTGACTTTTTTCTTTATTTTTCGTGCAACATGCTTATCACTGCGTTGGTTTTGCGATTAGTTAATGTAGAGATCATTTTAAAAAAAATCATGATGCAGTTTTTGTTTTAGCTCAAAGCAAATTCAACATAAAAACATACAGTAACATCCTAGATCATTGAATGTCAGGCTTATAAACACTTAGTTTGGTAAAAGTCGAGTTTTTCTGTTTCTCTGCTCTAGTCCATGCATTTAAAGTGCTCTTTTTGTTTCTTTGTTACCATTGATAAAGAGATGTTTGAAACTGTTAAATAAAATCTGTGAAAAATATCTTGTTATTTTTACATGAATGTAGCTTACATTCATTAAATCAGAACTTTTCTGCTGGAATCAGAAAAGTAACCGAGAAATACACGTATTGTATTTTATCTCATATTTTATATCTAACTACGTTCGTTTGAACATAAAACAATTATATTCTAAGTATAAGAATAATAAGAAAGGAACGGTACTCGTTATAACCTTTTATTTTGCATTACATAATATAATTATATTGATTCATTGCACTATAAACGATGGTTACATTTATAAATACATGTAGAACCATAAACATACATAAAGTACCAAGTACATGCGTATCCTTCTTAAATATACTTATAATAATGAAGTCAGCAAATTTATGTATATAATACTATAAGTACGCAGCAGATATGACTTCGATTTCATTAACGAGAGTAAATGAATTAGCTTATAATTTGGATTAAGTAGATAAAGTGCACAATATTATAATAAAAATAACTGATTTCGTTTGAAGGATATATGGAAAATTTACTTAAAATCGTTTGTACATGTATTTGAAATTACGGTTAACCCCCCCCCCCCCCCAGCCCCTTCCCTTTATCTTTTTTAACTCGGAATATCCATTTAATCTGCTAAAGAGTCTTATTCTATATTACCCGAGAGTAAAAGAAGCCAGAAAGATACCTGATAACTTCACCAAGAATATACAAGAATGCATAAATACACAGAATATAATATACTCAGATGATACAGAAATACATGAGACAAATAAAAAATGAAATTCCAGAGGTGGGGTCAGGTACCTAGAAGGAGTAAGCATCCCCTGTCGACCGCAGTCAAACCCGCATTGAGCCTTATGCATCGATCAGGTAGACGGAATAATCCGCAGTAAAATTAGTTAAAAAACAAAAACAAAGGCCAAACAATTGGTATGAAATATGTCAGTCAAAAAACAATCAAATTATAGGTTGTTTTGGCTAATAAGATGATTATTACGACCATTTACGAAATACTGATTTTAAACGAGGTTGTTGAAATTTCTGTAAAATCAACTTATTTGCCAGTGGCCTGCACCAACGGAGGATGTGTTCTAACGGGGAGCATTATAATCAGAGGGTGTTGTCTTAAGAGAGACCTGTCTTACTAGCAATTATCATTCCAAAGACAAGAAAACTATGTAATTCAGACGAGATAAATAAATGTCAAATACGACTGAATCTTACATACGGTTGACTACATCTTTTATAACTGAAACCAGTCCTGCTTAGAATGAAAGACAAGAGGCCCACGGGCCACATCGCTCACCTGAGCACTATGGCTAAGAAAAAGCAGAAATCAGTTCAGTCTTGAAAGGTTGAAAAGTTTAAATATAAAAGTGGTACGGGGGGGAAGGGGGGATGATTTGAACTAACTTGAATCTATACTTCATAGGGATGCTTTTGAATTAGTATGACAAATAATAGCTTTGTTGTTCTTAAGATGAAAAACTTTTATTATTGATATATCCTTTGTATAACTATTATCCCCTCTTATGGCCCCTCTATTCCCCTGTAGGGTCATGAATTGAATAAATTTGAATCTACATTACCTGACGATGCTTCCATTTAAATATGACCAATCATGGATTTGCTGTTCTTGAGAAGAAGATTTTTAAAGATTTTTCCTATGTATTCCTATGTAAAACTTTGATCACACATTGTGGTCCCACCCTACCCTCGGGGGTCATGATTTGAACAAACGTGAATCTACACTATCTAAGAATGCTTCCATATAAATATGACCAATCATGGCTTTGCTGTTCTTGAGAAATAGATTTTTAAAGATTTTTCCAATATATTCCTAAGTAAAACTTTGATCGCCCATTGTGGCCCCACCAGACCCTCGGGGGTCAAGATTTGAACAAACTTTAATTACACTACCTGAGGATGCTTCCATATAAATATGACTAATCATGGCTTTGCTGTTCTTGAGAAGAAGATTTTTAAAGATTTTTTCCTATATATTCCTAAGTAAAATTTTGATCGCCCCATGTGGCCCCACCCTACCCCCGGGGGTCATGATTTAAACAAACTTGAATGTACACTATCTGAGGATGTTTCCATATAAATATGACCCACCATGGCTTTGCTGTTCTTGAGAAGAAGATATTTAAAGATTTTTCCTATATATTCCTATGTAAAACTTTGATAGCCCATTGTGGCCCCACCCGACCCCCGGGGGTCATGATTTGAACAAACTTGAATCTACACTACCTGAGGATGCTTCCACATAAGTTTCATATTTTCAAGCACAGTGGTTCTTGGGAAGAAGATTTTTTAATGATGACATTAATTTTTCACGAATTCATAATTATCTCCCCTTGGAAGAGGGCGTGGCCATTCATTTGAACAAACTTGAATCCCCTTTACCCAAGGATACTTTGTGGCAAGTTTGGTTGAAATTGGACCAGTGGTTCTGGAGAAGAAGTCGAAAATGTGAAAAGTACATAGACGGACAGACAGACAGCTAGACAGACAGACGGACTACAAACAAAATGTGATCAGAAAAGCTCACTTGAACCTTCGGCTCATGTGAGCTAATAAAACTCAACCATTGATTCATACAGATAAATAGCAATTACATTAATTAAAAATATTCTGAATAAAGTCCGATCGTCTTTCAATGTTGACAGATTTGAAAACTTCCTAAAACAAAATTGTGAGAAGGTTAAGTTAAACAAGTCATAAATAACAAATGGAGTCTGGTTTATAAATATCCTATTAACGGTTGATAAATGGCATTTTCTGTGTATGTTGAATTCTGAATGAAATAAAGCCATGTGTTTAATTTCGAAGCATTTTATTTTACTATACATTAATTTAATAACGTAGAATTATGTTTCGGGAATCTAAGCTATAGAAGTTTTTAGCCCACAAAGTCTGTTAAACCATCAATTCTGCACATTTCAAACAAAGGTACTATGCTGAAAGAAAATTCCACGCAGCATCCTAAAACCTGAGTTGTGGAATTAAAAAAAATACATGCATTAACAATCGCTTCAATTTATTGCATTCGGCACATGTATCATTTAAATATTTTTAATTAGCTGAACGGGGAAATAAAACATAAAATATGAAATAAAAGAAGATGAGCAAACAAGGCGTGCAAAATGCCTAAAACTTCAAAATAATGTGCATAAATCGAATTCATTTTGGGAAGTAAGTACATGTATTTAGAGCACAGTTCTATCTGCTGACAAAACTTTTTCTTCGGAAAAATTCTCTCGGCAAGAATTATTCAATAAAATTCTAATGACAATCTACTGACCACCACACGGCTCATAACAGGTAGTGGTATTTAAATCTTGTTTGTGTTATGACCTTGAATGATTGGACTTCAAATGCTTCTCTCAGAAATATACGAATTGTTGTGTCAAAAACGTATATTATTACAGAAAGTGGGTCCCTGCTCCATGTTTGTGTTAAGCGAAAAATGCATATTTTTAAACATACTTTGAAGTTATATACTTTCAAAAAAAAAAGGAACAATGACATAATTATATGGAAAAATTGTGTTATCTTCTCAGAAATTATCATTTTCCCCATCTTTGGTGTGTACATGCTATTGTATAGAAGAAAGAAAAAAATACACTTGTGGTACTGTCGCAAATTTTGGAAATTTTACATAATAGTATACATTAATGTTAACTGAAATACCCAAGAAAATAGTGTTATAATTAATTTTTCACTTTTTGTCAAAGCAAAGGTAATTTTCTCGGCTTGTTTACCCATCTTTTTTAAAATCATTTCTTTTCTCACTAAACATGTACTGAACCCTGGAAATATGTATTCATTGTAAAACTCTTTTCTGTATACTCATTTAAACAAAATATATTAACCCTTCCCGTTTACCCTATACCCCCCCCCCCCTCTCTCTTTCTCCCTCACACCAATAATCTTTAAGTTGGTACCTAACCTTTATTAGACTAGTACATACTGTGCGTAATTCGTCACTACAATGGACATTTTGTACCAATGAGCATCTTTTAACAACAAGGTTGAGATTGCTGAAGAACGTTTTAAATATCGTCAAAGTCTTTCGGCGTGACAATGAGAGCCTGTATATCCATTACATTGGTCCCAGTAAGACCAGTCTTTATGATGTATGAACCCTCATCCAGCTGAGAAAACAAGGTGTAACTGTCGTTATTTTCCAGGAAATTAACCATATCCAGACCTTCCTGTGCACACTTCTGTATCATTTTGTCATCTGCTATCGCCCCGGTGGCGTCCGTGGGTCCATCTTGTCCGTCCGTCCCTCCACTCAGGAATTCAATGGAAAATCTATTCAGCTTTTCTTCCTCTGCACATGCTTTTTCTAAACTTATTCCAAAAGCAAGCACCATTTCTTGGTTACGCCCACCCTTACCCAGACCTTTGACCTTAACAACGGTCTCACCTCCACTGATGACACAGACCCCTTTACGACAATTACAGGCTCTTCTGGCAATAGAGTTCAGGTCATTCAATACAGTCTTCTCGAAACCAAATTGCGTCAGTTTTAACTCTAACTGGACTAATGATATTGACCCTCCGTCACGTGACGGTTTGTAATTATATAACAGTGCTATGTACTGAGCGATATCTACAAAAATTTCTCCAACATGGCGAGCTTCACCCTCCAGAGAGACGCTTAAAACAAACGGCAAGAGTCCAAGTTCTTTTGCCTTATTTTCTGCAGCTTGCGTTGCCATGGTGTTGTTTCCAACAATGACATTGTTGACATGTCGGAATTCGGACCATGGGGTAGTGTATCCCACTTCCGGTTTCTTCAGAGACGGCATCTTTGCAAACTCTACCGACTTTTTGAAGAGGAATTCTTTGACTGATTTTGGTACTAGCTGTTTGACTTTAAGTTCTTTGAAGATATCCATGCACATCTGAGGAGACGACACGTCAAATACAGTAGGAGCACTGGCAATAATGTCCAGTCTGTCTCCGACGACATCCGACAAGATCAGTGAAATCACCTAAAACACAAGAAAAGTCTCATGGGAATTCCGGAAATATGCCCAAGTCATCGTAATGCGCACATGAGTGTACACAATGTAATACTACTCGTCATATTTTGTGTCATTTTTTGGTACTTCCTGTGTAACAAAAGTGTACTCCATTATGAAAACTGCATACCCTCCCCCTTTTTACGCACTATATTTCACTATATATCTAAAAATGTACCAAAGAATTACAGAGCTTATGTTTAAAATTGTATGACCGCACCTGTGCTGGGAGTGCTGCCTTAGCCAGGCCTCCGCCCTTTAACTCCTCAATGTGTTTTCTAATGGTATTCAGGTCGTTAATGGTAGCACCATTCTGGGACAACATCTTTGTTAAGGATACTTCTTCCTCCAGCGTTATGGGTGGGCAGGGCAGTGGTAAAAGCGAGGATCCGCCACCTCAACAAGAGAAACAACGGCAGTATATTGTAAATGAAATGTCAATATTTTCTGAAACGTTATTAATTTTTAATTTTTCAAACACTAAATGACCTCCAACAGATTGAAATGTCGATTATGATAAAGAAACGGTCAACACTGAATGAAAACGCAATGACTACATTCGAAGGGGTATAACTCTGGTAAACTAAACAACTACATAAAATCATGGATTAGTGAAAAGCTGCATATTTATTGATAATATAATTTTATTAATAATTCTAATTTGAGTAAATAAAAGCAGAAAGATCCAGCAAAAAAAATTATATTAGTGACAAATAAATACATTACTTGTAGGTAAAACTCAATACTATAATTAGTTGTGCTGTACATAGACCATATTACCTGAGACATCATCTGAATGGCAAAATATTGTCAAAATGCATGTAAAATGAACTTCATTGTAAATTATAAATGAAATTAGATCTATAAAAAATATTTATATTTGAACTGTAATATTTCATATGTTTTATAGAACAAAAGACAATTAGTGTACCTGCATATAATATGATGCAATACAATTGAAGCTAAAATAATCTAAAAAAAAAAAAAAGTTTTCACACATAGGAAGCAAGCATAAAGTTGTTCCTACACCCATGGTACATGACTGAATTGAATGGCTGTAATACACTGGTAGCCTACGTGTCCACATACAAGATAGGAAAACCCATACAAATAAGATGTGCATTGCTACATGACTTAAAACTGATTTCAGTTACAGTGAATTGTATGTAAACTATTTACATGTAAGAAAAAAAATGAAAAATTGCATAAAATTTTGATAATATGTTTAGGTATCATAGAACATATTTATACAATATAAACTTTAAGCTGCAAATAATTACTTTGAAATTATATACTGATGTAAATTTAATTGTACATGTAATAAGGATCATATTAATTGTACATGTAATAAGGATCATATTAATTGTACATGTAATAAGGATCATATTAATTGTACATGTAATAAGGATCATATTAATTGTACATGTAATAAGGATCATATTAATTGTACATGTAATAAGGATCATATTAATTGTACATGTAATAAGGATCATATTAATTGTACATGTAATAAGGATCATATTAATTGTACATGTAATAAGGATCATATTAATTGTACATGTTATAAGGATCATATTAATTGTACATGTAATAAGGATCATATTAATTGTACATGTAATAAGGATCATATTAATTGTACATGTAATAAGGATCATTATTTTACTTTTGATTTGTGTTGCTTTCAGTGGGAACTAAAAACCTCCTTCTCAGAATGATCAATGACTACTATTTAACTGATGAACTAGGTGTGTATTGAGGAACAAATAACATTCATTGCTGCATGCAAAAAAGCTATAAAAAACTATGCATACATGATATTAAAATACATAGAAACAAGTGTCAAAACCAAATTCGTGAAAAAAACAGATTACATTGTACTGTTGTACATATATTAAAACCACACACCACACAATTGATCTAGAGAGACTAAGTACCTGATTTAAGTACTAGAGAGACTAAGTACCTGATATAAGTACTAGACTAAGTACCTGATATAAGTACTAGAGAGACTAAGTACCTGATATAAGTACTAGAGAGACTAAGTACCTGATATAAGTACTAGAGAGACTAAGTACCTGATATAGGTACTAGACTAAGTACCTGATATAAGTACTAGACTAAGTACCTGATATAAGTACTAGAGAGACTAAGTACCTGATATAAGTACTAGAGAGACTAAGTACCTGATATAAGTACTAAAGAGACTAAGTACCTGATATAAGTACTAGAGAGACTAAGTACCTGATATAAGTACTAGAGAGACTAAGTACCTGATATAAATACTAGACTAAGTACCTGATATAAGTACTAGACTAAGTACCTGATATAAGTACTAGAGAGACTAAGTACCTGATATAAGTACGACTAAGTACCTGATATAAGTACTAGAGAGACTAAGTACCTGATATAAGTACTAGAAGAATGTGTTGATCAGTCAGTGTGGTCACTAATTTCTTAATGGCCACAGCTGCAGCCTGAGCATCATCGTCCGGCAGGTTATTTTTAGCTCCTTCCATGACCTTCAGCTTGGTGTCTTCCTTTGGCCAAAGATCCCTGAAATTAAAAACAAAGATTAAAGGTACTGCTTTTTATTGAATATGGAGAAAATATATGATTAATGGTAAGTTTTAATAATGTGCTAAGGAAAATTACTATTTACTATAGTACAAATACAGTAAATATTGTTTAGTACAAACTAAACATACTTATGTATAAAAGAAGTTTTTTTTTTACCATAACAAAACTTTGAACAATTTCTTGTAAAATTTTATGGTTGTAATGAACTAGGATATAAAAAATTTACAGGTATAGCATATTGATTTTGTGTCCCATAGAAAATAAAAATCATGAAATGTAGGGATGCGCGATTTTATCGGTATACCGGTATATTGTGATTTTTTATTGCGTGCTATGTATCATGACACGGAGACTAAAATACCGGTATTTGGTACATAATTATAAATTCCATAAATTATTCATTTATTTGTTCAAACTATTAAGTAACAATTACAAGAAGTGTAAAGAATGTTAAAAAAGTTAAACAATGGCATCCAAACATACTTTACATTATAAAAATAAAAATTTAAAAAGTGAAGCTATGTTTTTATTGCATCTCTGTAAGAAATATTATGGAAATTCATTGGAATTTGTGGTAAAAATTGTGTGTAAAAATATCACAATATTATCGTGATATTCTGGGGAAAAAAATCGTGATATATCACAATACGAAGTTTAAGGCGATACCCATCCCTAATGAAATGTACATCTTTTATAACAAATCTTTAAGATCATAAAATTTCAAGTAGTGAACTGACATTATTTTTCTTAAGTATTTATGTCTGAAATTAAATTCCTCTAAATATTTAGTTCTTGAAGACATCTTTTTGTATTTAAATACTTCCCTGAACATATTTGGCAGTCATACTTAAAGGAAAACATTAACTTGGTATTGTGAATTCACTACATAATTTAACGAATTCATTATACGGAAATAACAAGTTTCAAATATAGAGAAGTAAATTCACAGGTCCCCAGAACTTTGCTAAAAACAAGTTTTTAATTACTGTACACTGAGTATTTTTAAACCCACAGGAATAAGAAATGGTTTTGTTGGAATGTAATAAAAAAATATCAAGTTGACTAATTTAAAAGCATATTCATAGATATACTTATTGTCTTAACTAATTTACTATCATAGTCTTGCATAAGTCAAACATGAAACTACATTTTACAGTCTTGCATGAGTTGAACATGAAGCTACATTTTATAGCAAGAATATGAACAACAGAAGGCATGCTTAAAGTAAAAACTAGGACTAACATTTTACCAAGTTCTTTAAGAGTCTGGCCTAGACCGTGTGGTACACTGAGGATGCCACCAATGATGTGGTGCTGTAGGTGGTCCTCAACTGATCGAGCCATCCCCGCCACTGCCTTACCGAACCCCACCACATAAACATTGTTATTTAAAGCATACTCCTGACCCCCCACCTGTAAACAGTTACCGTCCACTTTTAGAGCTCTGAAAAAGACCAAACAAATCAAATTGTAATTTTGTTTTCATTGGCTGTAATTCAGCATAAATGTAAGCATTTCATGGATGACCAATTTAGATATACCTTCAAAGCATTACCTTCCAATCATTTCAGAGGGTAGGACGGATGATATGGCTGTATCCAGTATGTCTCTGAGTTCCTTGTGTTTTTCTGATGGCATGGTTAGGTCCAATGATACAGACCCTGGATTTACTGTTGTGTAGAATTGTGTCAATGAAGAATGAAAATTGTGCTGATGCGTAGTGTTCACTAATGGTCTAGACCATGATATTGCTCGAAGGAAACAAACCCTTAATCTGCAAAACAAAGTTAAAAAATAAATTTAAAGCATATACATTCACTGTTTCATTACCACATAAAATAATTTAAAATTACAAATGAGATACAGTAACAAATTATGAATATGAACCAGGAAGAAGCATTCCAGCTTAAGGACAGACGATATGTTCCTCAATGATATATAATTTTTTCTAAGATTTTGTCATTGAAGTATTGCTACTTTAACATGTTTACTTGCAAAAAATTGAGGTACCTTACCAGGCATTTGTTCAAGATACAAGAGGATGTTTTCCCTATAAAATCCCTTTGGAAAAAAACTTGATTAGCCAATAACACATATTTTAACATATGTATATATAAACATATTTTATAAAGACAATTAGAAACCAGTTTAGAAATCAGAAGGTAATTAAAATTTTGAATATTTTTCACACAATACCAAGATATACAAAACAGATATTTGAGGAACGTATCGTCTGACCTTAAGATACTGCACAAAAGAATCGTCTTTTGAAAAATATTGCATAACATATTAATTAATCGTTACCCTCGTTTCATCAACATTACAAAAGACAGGCACACACGATGACATCACAAATGCAGGTTTCTTTAGAATTTTTTCCAAGCATTGCAATTCCTTTCTCTGTAGTCTTACTGCTAAGGGAAAAAAAGATTATATAAAATTCGTTTTAACCATGATATAACTTTCTCATATACCCAATCAAATAATATGATTTAAAAATAATCCTTAGAATAACTTACCCAACTCAGACTTTTAGTCTAATCCCGATGACTACAGCAATAAAATCTACCGTGCTTAATAATGATAAACGTCTCTCTCATCTCTAATCGTTAATCTGAGGTCACAGAACATGAAAATCAAAATGTCCCATGTCCCAATCAAGGACAAATGTAAACAATAGAGTGATCGTTCCTGATTGACTCTACCTTTCGAAAGGAAACGTTACTATATTTCCGGATTGACGCGATAAATTGGAATATTTTTTGATTTAATAAATATTTTATCATTACTGTATATCCAAATACTGTGCATCATATTTAACACGTGTACAACTGACCAGTGTCAGCTTCATAAGATTGTATATAGCTCTTGATCCTGTACATGGATAAAACGTGCAGAATGTTTCAAGTAATTATAGCCAAGTTTACTATATTCAGTGCAGAATGTCTCCTTTATGAAATCTTATAAAGTATATTAAGTCTCCTTATCAAAACATGTAATGAAACATGTAATGTGCAGAGTTCTCCAGTATTGCAATATACATTGCAATATACAAATTGAATGTAATTGTGATGATTACAATTATGTGCGGTATGGTTACATGTAGTGTGTTCGAAAGTTCTTTTGTAAAGTCACGTGATTATAGTAAATAAATAAATAGTAAGCCCATGTGGTAGCACGGCACTTTAAAGCTGAACACGACTCGTAAAAGGAATCTGTCCGCCATTTTCGATTGGACTATCGCTATATCTGAGGGCCCCTATATATAGAGCCGCTCACTTGATCACTGTTCAGTGTAATCAATTGTCACCGGTGTTGACGGACGTATGCTATACAGGACTTGGTAGCGACAAAAATAACTGTCTAATGCAGGATAGTAAGATACCAAAGAGATTTACAACAGTTGCACAGGTCAGTGCAGTATACAAACAAACAAACACAAATATACGTAACTGCAATAAAATGTAAGCAAAAGTAATGTAAGATAACCAGCACGAACACGAGTCGCCATTTCACGCCGATCCCCGTGACAATAAAGCAGTCAGGTGTAACGAATGCGAAGAGTATATCCTGGTGCTGATATCTTAGATAGTACTATCGAAAATGACGTATGCCTATTTACGAGTCGTGTTCAGCTTTAAGTATAATGACTGATAGTGATACAATGGAGTCTTATGAATTTGGGCTGTACAGTTGTATTATGTATTTATGCAGTTTTCCTATATGATATGTGTTGTAATTTATTCATTCAGCACTTTAATTTATTGTTCGGACGAACGAAGTGAGGGAGGATATAAGTGCCTTAAATGTTATGATGAACGGGCGTTAAGACGAATAATGACCCCCATAGAATAATGAAAAATGACCTCCGGTCATTATTCGAATTAGAAAAATGAACCTTTTGCCTGGAGAAAATGTGGCATCACCCATAAATCCTGCATACCCTACGCGAAGAAAAATGACCCCCGTAGAATAATCACCCCTTGTAGATTTCGATTGAGATATCATTATGTAAATGTACTTTTCTTTCTGAATATAAAGATTAAGAATTATAATTCAAAAGGCCTGTGAACCGAAACGCTCACCTGAGGTATCGTATAAATGAGGATACAGGGATGATATATGTTGGTCTCCTGAAATCTTTCGAAAATAATCATCTGTCTTATATGATAAATTGACAACATTAATCAACTTCAATCTACGCTATGTGGAAATGCTTCCATCTTGAATTGACAAATGTTTATTTTTTGAAGATTTTTTTTTTTTAAATTCACATATATTCAAAGGAGAAAGTGAGATTGTTGTTTTAGTGTCTAATCTACTGGTTAATCAAGTTGCGTTTAAGTGCATGTATTTTCAAGTCCATGATTTTAACAGTGTACATAAATGTAATTTTCGGACATCTAGCAAAAGTATCTTACAATCTAAAAAGAAAATTTGTGTGATGTTTTAGAAAATTTTGGTACATTTTCATTAAAATCGAATAAACAAGGGTTAGTTAACTATCCGTTGTAAATGTATACGGGAAAAAAAACTTGAAATGCAAACAATTTTAACAAAAACTGCTAGTAAAACTTCCATGAAACCATGAAACCCTAGAAACCACAAAGGAATGGAGTCGATAAAAAATAATCATGCAGATATCCATATCTCGTCCCCAAAGTGCAAATTAATCCATGTGCTTTATGCATGTATCATCTTTGATATTTTGAATGCTCCCCTTTATCAAAGGAATGATAAATCTTGAATAAAGAAGAAACATCAAATCTGTTCCTACAAATATATGATTTGCAAAGGTTGTACAAGCAAATGTCCAGTTCCGAACAAATCTGATTAAAATAAATTTAATATACTTTCTCTTTTAAGTGTATTTAATTTGTTCGAAGGAAGAATTTATTTGTCAACTCATTCAAATATTTTGTTTGTCCGAACGAAGAACAAACTTGTCAAACTATTACCTCATTTTTTCGCTCACGTATCAAATTCGTCAGAGCAATTATACATTTTTTTCTGGGCTTCAAGGGCACCATACTATTGTATTATATTCCTTATTTATAAAAGTTGTGACCTTCATGGATTTTTGTAAATTTGTCATTAAGATTCAAAAATTACAAAATGTATAACCTTACAATGTAGAAAAAAAGTATGGAAAAATAAACGTATTTGCTAACAAGGTCATCATAATGAGAATTTTCGAAATGCTGACTTTGATTGAGATTGTTTAAAGCACTGTAACATCATTTTATTTGTCAGTATCCTGTCTCTGTTTAAAAGATGATCGTACGCATAGCATGCTCTAGCGTACCAAATAAGTCAGGAGACTTAAACACCACAAGCAGGCGAGAGTGAAACATTACTTCATAAATGCATCCAAGAGTTAATTGGCGATGGGTAAAAAAATTCGGAAGTCCTCTTGTTTGTCATATAGTTTAGATGTCAGTTGGCCATAAGTGTCTACAGTCAGTAAAATACTCAAATATGAAACGGATAAAGAAATATTAAGATAACAGTTTTAACCAAAAGCCACTGTGACGTATCTATTGTGCGATTTTTATTGTGTGCTGAAAACACAATAGGTGAAATATGAATATGAAGATAATGAACGGTCATCAAGCTCAAAAGTTAAATGGGAGCAGAGCAAACATGGACCTCTAAAACATAGGAGGTGGGATCAGGTGCCATGGAGGTGTAAACACTCCCTGTCGACCGGCCACATTCGCAGTATGCTCCTTTACATGATCGATCAAAGAGAAAAATCAGAAGTGTGAAAATAATGGCCTAACAACTTATATGAAAAGCATCTGTCAACATTTGACTTAAAGATAGATTGGATTAATTTTGCTAACAAGGTCATTGTGTTTACCAAAGAATTTGCCAAATGTTGACGTTAAATGAGACTGGTGATATCCTTGGATTATCAACTTATTTGTTAGTCAGGAGACACTCACACTGTGTGCTGTGGTTCTCCAGACTTACAATATTTAGTGTGAGTGTCTCCTGACTTACATGTACAATATTTAGACTATGCTGAGTGTTTCCTGACTTACAATATTTAGTATGCTGAGTGTCTCCTGACTTACAATATTTAAGAGCCATTCTCTGTAATGACTTGAACTTTTATATAGGAGCTGTGGCACGCATAGTCTCAGAATTTCTCCAAACTCTCTATGATAAAAGTCTTTGATACCGTAAATTCAAATCAGGCAAAAACTGGTTGCTACGTGTCATGGTTACCATAGCAACATGTCGTAAAGTTTGAAAAATGGCATTTTTCAACATGTTCAGAGTCCCACAGTTAACGTTTGCAGCAAAGCAAACAAGTGGCAATGACTGTTTCTGAAAGTTGAAGGTCTGATGTCTTAAATGCATGATAAACATGTTTGGTAAATCAACTATAACATACATTACTATGGAAACAAAGTATTCAAAAGTAATAATTTTGTTCATTTAATTTTATAAAGTCATACACTTAAGAATAAAAACAATTATAGGTTGAAATGCAAGCAAATAATAGACAAGAGATCCTTGTAACATATACCAAGGACAGAATATGATATTTCTTATAGGTTGGCAATGGTTGTCATGGTTTTAATACCATGAAGGGATTTTAAATTTACTCTCTTAGTGTTTTAATCTTATCCTATCTTTTTAAAAAGCATATTTCTATATAACTGATGATCAATTTTTAAAGGCCTAGGTGTGACCCTAATTTTCACATTTCAAAAAATTCAATTTCAGTTCTTTAAATAGTCTGTTGCTATGGAAATAAGGCGAAAAAACATGCATAAAAATCTGAAAAATACTCTGTTTCCTTGGATACGTGCCCTTGTATGTAGATTCCCAAAACTTTTATGATTGATATATGTGAACAACTAACCTGACTTTCAATTTTGACTACCACCCAATCTCTAACTGGATGCAAAAAGCTGGCACATAGGGTCTAATATTGACATAAAATTAACATAATCGAACATTTTCTCTTCTTGGTAACCATAGCAACAGCATTGTATTTTTCAACAACCTTTATCAATATATGATATTCAACTTTAGTTCTATGAGATAAGTACTATTCAAGGTGATTCAAATAATATGTTTCTTGATTAAAAGGTTAGTAAATTCCTAAGGCAGCAAAAAAATATCACTTTAAACAACTAGTACTTTGTTTCCATGGTTACACTGCAAAGTAACAATTAATCTCAATTTTTCTTATGTTGTCGGTGTTGCAAGGTCTTAAGGATGTATATGTGCCAGTCATGAATTTTATTGTTTTTCCTCAAGATAGTAGCATTAATCCAATCATAGCAACAGATTTTGCATGGTGACACTGTGTTACCATGGCAACCATGAAAGTTATTTTTAGAATAATACTGGCAATACCTAATTACATAAGGTAAATATTTTTCATTGCTTTTCTTAGGTTTTTGATTGAGTTTGATCATGTAACATCTATCATTTGTGAAAATTGAGCGCTTTTCAGCATTTTTCAGCATCTAAAATGTATTCCAAATGTACTCATGGTTACCACTTACTTAGAGATAAATTCTAAATAGTTTCTTTATCTAGCATAAGTGGCAACAAGGTGTCATGTTTTTGGGAGAATAGTGTGTTTGTTTTTCTTAGTCTTTATTAAGGCTTAAT